TTTCTGAAATGTATTGTCTGCAGCTTTTTAGTTTGCATAGACGATAGGACTAATATCCTACAGTACTGGGTTATAAAACGAGACAATTTTTAGCATAATCTAACATTTGTTAGCATAAGATCAATAATGGTTGAGCTTTTAATCATGATGATGTGCATAATCGAACGTAAGTTTCCAAAATATAACATATACTCACTCTTAGAATTTGGAATTGGAATTAACCCTAAAGCTAGATAAAGAGTTTAGGGTTATTGTTAGGTTTCTAAGTAAGAGATCTAACTTTTCTCGCAACACCCACTCACGCCAAAGCAAATAAACAAGAGAAATAAAGGAAATGTGTATAACAACTCGAGAGCCTAATCCCCCCCAACAAGATCCAAGATGTTTGCAAAACGTAAGAAATGGCTAGCTATCTTCTAACAATAAATAGAACTCTATTTATATAAGATCTCCCATCCCGCCTTTCCTAACCGCTCTCTCATTTTTCCGTCTTTCTTAACTGCTCTCTCATTTCCTCTTTCTTTTATTCTCTTATCTTAGATCCTATCATTTATTCCCAGTTTATATACTTTATTTTAATCATACCACCACTCAGTTATTTTTCTTTGGTCAATGATATTCCCTTATGCATGTTTCTATGTCATGTCATGTCTGTTATAAACATTTCTTTCTCCAAGAAATAACTGAGGTAACATTTTTACTATATTCAAATTTCTGTGGGTAGAACTTAATCTTTGTTCTTGCAAAGGTTTATTCTTGAAAAAGACATATTAACTATAAATAGCCCTGCTTCTTTTTCTTATTTGAAGTTGTTTGCCCTTATTTGCGTTAAGGAAAGAGGTTAACTTTCTTCTCTTTGACTACAGGAAAAAGTTGACAGTGTTGATTGGAGAAAATTCTCTTATGAAAATTATGAATCTACAGAAGCAAGCATTAGAACAAATTACTATGGAGCCAAATTAATGTGTGAAGCATTTATTCCCCTTCTAGAATTGTCAGACTCACCAAGTATTGTTAATGTTTCCTCCACCTTTGGGAACTTGGAGGTATACGTGACTAATATGCGTGAACTTGTTACTGTGTCTGGAATTACAATCTGACTAGCCAACTTTTGCTATTTACTGTTTCTTCAATCATTGTGATGTATTTGATACTGTTGTTCATGCAGAGCATACCAAATGAATGGGCTAGAGGAGTCCTAAGTGATGTTGAAAGCTTAACAGAAGAAAACGTGGATGAAGTTGTGAAAAAGTTTCTGAATGATTTTAAAGAGGGTTCATCAGAAACCAATGGGTGGCCACCTGAGCTTTCTGCATATATAGTCTCAAAAGCTGCTTTGACTGCGTACACAAGAGCTCTTGCCAAGAAGTACCCATCTTTGGGGATCAATGCTGTTTGCCCTGGCTATGTGAAAACAGATCTCAACCTCAATAGTGGCTATCTTGGTGTTGATGAAGGTGCTGAAAGTGTAGTAAGGTTGGCTCTGCTACCTAATGGAGGTCCTTCTGGTCTCTTCTTTTCTCGAAGTGAAGTTGCATCAGTTTGACAAAAGGTTTGTTGTGTACTAGAAGATAATGAATAAATAACAAGCTATGTGTCATGACACATATCTACACATCATTGCTGAGAACAACCCTACAGTGAATTGCAGACATTACAGGATTATGTTGCCAATAGTGGTGAACTACAGCCAATAGTGGTGAACTACATGACTCTTAGACACACTGTGTTGTTTGTTAAATAATTATGATCAGTTTATGGAAGAGTTGAATTGTCTTTACTGCAAGCCAATATATGGCTTACTTACCTATCTGTATGCTTATAAATTTGTAAAGATGGTATATTTGTACTTCTATGCTTCAGAAATTGGTATGCCCTTGCCATTTATGACCCTAACTAATTGATGAAGGAACCGAACATCCTCTAAAGCCAGATGGTAGCAACTTGCTTCCAAAGCCTTATTTCTTTTAACACCAATCAAGTGCCGCAATTTTAGCTCAAAATATTTTCGTTTCATCAGAGTGTGAGCAATATGAATACTCATTGTTGTTAACTCTTTGGACTCTTATGAGTTTATGATTCTTGTTGGAGAAACTAAGTTAATCTACTATTACGCTTTTCTGGATATCCCAAAGTAAGTTCGTAAACTTATATACACTTGGAAAAAATCTCAAATCAAGAAACAATTTAGACTGTGTTATGTATGTTATTGCAGCTAGTTTACAGTCTTTTTTTTATTTTTTATTCTTTACTAGCTGAAAATTTTGTTTGAACTTATTGACAGTATTTGGGAAACAGTTTTTTCACTAGCTTAGACTATTTTTTTAAAGGGCACTCAAAAAATTATTTTAAAACCCTAATTTTTAACCTTTTAATATTTATTACATTTAATCACTTACACGACTGATTCAATTTCAGTTTAATACTTTTTAATATTTTTTTAAAATTCATCCAATTTTGATACATTTATTTACATTACACTATTTTTTAATCATTGCATGAATTAATATAATGAAATGCTTAAAAGTAGGATGTCCTTACTTTATTCTAAATTTAACTATAAATATTTTAAGACATAGTTTAAAATGAACAGTAGAATATCCCATATGAAAAATATACTAATTGAAAATAATATATATGTAATGAAAATGATTGATATGTAAACAAATAATTATAAAAGTTTAAAACTAGTTAAAATTATAAATACTTAAAAATAGTTCATATAAATTAAATAAAAATGTATGTACATTCTAAGTGATTTTATGATAAAATATGTTAATTACATTATGAATTTACTATTAATTTATATATCTGACAATAATCCTATGCAAATTTAATATAAAGTAAAACTAATTAGTTTTTAAAGTATATATGACATTTTTCATTACGTTAATGAATTTAAAAGTTAAAATTTCTTTAAATATAATACTAATCACCATATAACAGAGTCATGGTTGAACTACACAATGTAGTATCACTTTTCTTAAAAAAAATGACCATGTATCAACATCAATGTCTTAAACTATAATCCTTAAATAGTGAAAAAAATATATAAATATAATTTTAACCATTGAAAGGCTTTTATAACCTAAAATATTATAAAAGTATAATTTTAAAATATTTTGAAATAACTTAAAAGGTTTTTATGTGAAATAAAAAGGTGTTTCGATTCAACGCATTTGTCGCACTTGGAAGGTGAATTTGTATGTAAATTTTTTAAGTTTGAAAACTTATTTTGAGGAAAATGGGAAGAAGTTTCCTTTCAACGTAAAGCCAAACTATACTTTGGCCTAAAGTATGCAAAATTTGGCTTATGAGAAATCATCCATATCACACATAAACACCTTAAATATTTGTCAAATTCTTTTGCTTAAAACATTTTAATAAGCATTAATTTTATAATTTAAAATTATTTAACATTTGATTGTTTCTTGCAAGTATGAACATTTTTACTTTTGTTTATGAAAAATAAGGATTTCTTCTTTGTATCAAAAGTAAATGTCTCTCATGGACTTCGACAACTTTGCGTGCTCAAATCGCAACACCACCATTTCATTGAATGAAATAATAAATACCATTTATGGTTATATAAGCCGCATATAGAATAATTAAGTCAAACTTTAAATGTAATTTCTTAATTTTTATTTTTCATATTAAGTTTGATTTTTATTTTATATTCTTTGTGAATCTCAATTCAAAAACTTATAATGAAATCTGCTAAAATAGAAGGCTTAATCCCATAGGAGAAAAACAAACAAAAACCCAAATCCTTAAAATCCATCACTTGACTACCTATATATGATTTATTTTGTATAACAAAAACCCTCATTATTTATTTTGTATAACAAAATTCCTTAAAGGGAGAAAAGGAGGTGTTCACTTGAAAATCATTAAAATTTGTAAAAGATTTAATGAATATAATAAAATAAAATAAAATAAATATTTTAATAAATTAAAATATAAAATTATCTTTTTATCATTACCGTTGTTATTATTATTATTACTAAAACCTTCAAAACAATACAATATAATTGAAAAATATGATCTTTAAAGTTGGAGAATTGATCCACCAACATACAAAAAGCTTAAAATATAGAATCGGTTCCATTAACACACCTTATACATTGAAATTGGTTCCAACATTATCTCATTCTGCCTCAAACAACAATAATTTCATGCAAAAAAAAGTAATATTGTAAAATTTCACGCCTTACCTCCAAATCTCCTTCCCTCTACAAAAGATTGAATCTTAAATCCTCAGCCAAACCCACCCTCTAATTGTTACAACCAAAAACACAACTATAACTAGCATATTTATAGTCCACAACATAAAAGAACTTGCAAAATTGTTATATGGATAAAAATATCAACAAATTGCACATAACTTTTTTTCCTTTCTCTAAAAACTGAAAAATAACCCTAATTTTGCAAAAGAACAAGGATTGATTAACACACAATTCATGACAGAAAAGTAAGCAGCGTCGACTTGATAGATGAATTCTTTTATATGTACGTCACTCATGAATGAGTTGTTGAAGCTTCGCTTCGGAAAGTTTTAATGTTACGAGGCACATGTGTCTCCAACTTGTTGGTCCCACACAGTTTCTTCCTCTGTCCATTTCCTCTGCAGATCTCAACCAATTCTTATAAACCCCTTTGGAGATCTGCTTCAAACTCTGTCCCCTTCTTCAACTTCCTCACTCCCCTCACAGGCAAGTTCTCACCTTTCAATGCAAATCCTGCATTTGCATCAGCTTCAATTACAAAAATATCACCTTTTTATCTATTCTGTTTATTTTTTTCTGATAAATAAGTATTGCTAAACAGCTTGGATGGTGTATTTGCTGAAGGGTGTCATCTAATTTTGGATTATGTTTACTGAACCCACTCAATTTTAATTTTTTTTTTATGAAGTATGGACTTGTTCTGTAATTTTGTGTCTTCTGCTAATGGAAGAAAAAGAGCTTATTTACCACCTCTCCATATAGGTTCTTCGCCATCGCATTCTTGTTATGCTTTCACTGTGCCTCGCCGTTGTGCTTGGGGTCGCATCCCATTCTTTTGTTTTTTTCTAGTAGGGTTTCCTTCGGGTGTGGAGTGACAGCCTGTTAATTCGGTTTTAATTTTATTTTGGTAATGTGGAGTGTATTATAACTTGGCTCCATTGCTTTTTTTTTCCTTGGTTATGTTCAGATTTTTAAGACGTGTGAAAGTGGTTCAAATTCTAGTCAAATTAATTTTGGTACATCCTCACTTTCCCTTAGAAGTAAAAATGATGTTGAAAATAGGACAGATGTTGGGGAGAAAAATGAAATGCATGTTTTAGGTAGCGGAACAAAAGATGATGAAGTCCTGTAAGTGATTTCATTAGAAGATTGGATGAAAGAGATCTATAAACTCGATAACATTTTTGTTCTTTAGTTATTTAATAATTTTCTTATCTCTTTAAGTATTAATATTTTGTTGGGGTATTGTATGAACATTTTTATTTTAATATTGTAGAATTGGTATCATGAATATATATTGTTTTATTAAATTTTCATATTAAGTAGACTTTCTTACGAGTCTACAGACTCTCCATGAGTCTATGTAACTCTCGACCTTGGATTTGAAGTTGTATTTGTTTTGAAGTTTGATAAAATAATGGTTTAAAATTTTTCAGGTTTTTGTGGATAAGAGAGAGCTATCATGGCTGCCCGGAAACCTGGTGTTATTGCTTTGTTTGATGTTGATGGGACTCTTACAGCTCCCAGGAAGGTATCTGTTTTTTCTAGAGCTAATGACACTACATGACCATGGATGTGGTTATTTTGTTACAGTTTGAAAACAATCTCTGGCTGTTACGTTAGCCTTACCGTCAAGTTTTTGGGTTACTAACATGGCCACAATTGTGACTGCAACAGCCACAACTATTTTCAATTTTCTGCAATATCAAGTATCGTGCAACTACAAGTTAAAACCTTAATTACATAATCATAGTTGAAAAATATGTGCATACTACAATTCGATATAGTTCTAAGACAGATCTGTTACCTGTATGCCACCTGAGGTTATTCATAATTTCATTGATTATCAAATGCTGTTGTTCCCCTTGGCTAAACAAAACTAGAAAATCTGAATTTCTTCTTTCTGATTGTTTAGTTTTCCATCACCTCTAGTAATTTTTTCTCATTTGAATGCAAGGTGGCCACTCCAGGGATGTTAACATTCATGCAAGAACTACGAAAGGTGTGTGATTTTAGATTTTTTTTAATATAAAGTGTATTTACTTGGTCTTTTAGTTCAACATCTACATGGCCACGCATAAAATCTGTACTGATATTCTGTCCCTTTTGTTGTTGAATTTTATGTTGTCTGGGTGCAGGTTGTAACAGTTGGAGTTGTTGGAGGTTCTGACCTTGTAAAGATATCAGAACAACTTGGAAACACAGGTTAGCAATAGATTCATGTCAAGACACTAAAATGCTATAGCAAGTAGGAAGCTGCATTGAGGAAATTTATTTTAGCGTTTCTTTCATTCCTTCATATGTATTATTTTCATATTCTCGCTGCACGTAGGTGAATTTATAATCACTGTTACAATTTTTTCCTTTCCATTGTATTTGTTCTTCATTTCTCCTTGTTCTGAAAAAGCATACATTATCTGCTCTATAGATTAGCTATTAAAGTGAAAGAATGAAATAAAGAAACAAACAGGAGGGTTTATCTTTGTGAATATCTGTCTGTTGCAGTTACCAATGACTATGATTATGTATTTTCTGAGAATGGTCTTGTGGCTCACAAGGAAGGAAAACTCGTTGGAACTCAGGTACAACACATAAACCTGAATTACTGAAAGGAACGAATTGTGATGTGATGACCATGGATGTATCGTAATAGATTTATTCTGATCCTTTGAGATATTTAAGAGAACATAACTAGTTCACTGTGTTCTGACTTATAAGTAAAGCAGGCATGATACAAATTTTATAAGGCCACTTTTTGGTAAAGCATGTTAAGTAAATTATGCCCATTAAAATCTATTGAAAGTTGAGCTGGTAAAGTTTTTTATTTGTGCAAGCTATCGCCCACCACACATACACACACAAACACACTCGATCACTCATTTTTACCCATGTATTTTTTTTCTCTCTAATACACCTTGACAAGTTGTGAATTGCCCTCTTTTCAGAGTTTGAAATCATTCCTTGGGGAAGAAAAGCTGAAGGTATGGCTTTATTTGATGTTGACTACATCCTAAAATTGTTTTGGGCTGTGTTACTCTTCCATATTCTTATTCCTAGGCATATTATGCATATCATAACCCAAAATTGACTGGGAAAATGAAGTTTATCTGTAAGGTCAATTTAAGCAAGCTCAGAAGCCATGAATATAGAAGATTATGCTTGTGTTAACTGCTTGTAAATTGAATAAAGTTGTGACTTGTGAGCATATAGTAAATGCATTTTATATTAATAAATTTCTTTTAATAATGACAGAGTGGGTGATATTTTGCAGGAGTTCATTAACTTTACTCTCCATTATATTGCTGATTTGGATATCCCTATTAAGAGGTTAGTGAGATTCAGAAGCTAATATATATTTTAAGGATTAGTTATATGAACCTGTTAGTTTCTAATTGATATAACTATATTTTTAGGGGAACATTTATAGAATTCCGTAGTGGGATGCTGAATGTGTCACCTATTGGCCGAAACTGTAGCCAGGAAGAAAGAGATGAATTTGAGAGATATGACAAGGTTATTTATTTTGGTTTTTGTCATATTCACTAGAATTAAATTGATATGTTAGGTGAATAATTTTATCCTAAAATTTTGCAATTTAAGCTCTCAGGTTCAAAATATACGCCCAAAAATGGTTTCTGTACTTCGCGAGAAGTTTGCTCATTTTAACTTAACTTTTTCCATTGGAGGACAGATAAGTTTTGATGTAAGTAATGATCCTCCTGACATGATTTGGTGATTTTATTTCTGGCAAAATGATAGTTAAACAGTGCTTAATTTAAATATACTCCACAGGTTTTCCCTCAAGGTTGGGATAAAACATACTGCCTAAGATACCTCGACGATTTCAATGAGATTCACTTCTTTGGTGACAAAACTTACAAGGTTAGTCCATAAGTTTATCATACAGTCCTTGTTTGGAGTATCAAACCAACATCTTACATGTTCTATGCCTCCCTGCATACATGTGCTATCATTATGTATTCTATGCAGTCTTCATAAGCAATCACATTTGTCTGAGTCTCCAATGTCACTTATTGTTATGAAAGTCCTGCAAGTGAGTTGAGGCAAAAGTTATTGTAATAAGCAAGTTATTAGCAATATAATTCTGTTTTATAGATAATGGCACAGTAACATGAGTCCTTTTCTACATTTTGAATATTTCAAACTATTCAGCAAAATATAATGCTTAGTTTTTATATTTATTGATATACTTCTCTTATTATGACACCTTGTTCAGGGTGAACCTTCACTTGTTTCCAATGCTAGATTTCTGGTTTATAAAAGTATTGTTGGGGTAATTAGGTAGAAGGATTGATTAATGTCCTATAATTATTTTATTTTTGCTGTGCAGGGTGGAAATGATCATGAAATCTATGAATCTGAACGGACTATTGGACACACAGGTTAGTACTTAAACTTTGTTATCATTTGTTCAAGGAATTAATTGTTTCAGTGCCATGGGTTAACAGTTCAAATTCGATTTTCTTTTTTAATTAAGACCCAATTTGTTTCAGATTATATTACTTCAAAAACATTTTTCTTTAGGAAAGGCAGTGATGCCCCCCATTTCTTGAATTCTTTACAAAAGATTTAAAAAAGAATCAGAATCTTCAAAAGAAAATATTTTTAACTTACTGTTCAAGAAACTGGAAGTGTACGTTTTTTCTGAATGTCAAAAAATAATAATTATAGTAAACTTTTTCAAAATTTTGGTATATTTTTTTCTTAAATGAACCAACTAAAGTTAACAACTAAGCCAAAGTAGGGTAAAATAACGAAGAATCATTGTCATTTGCACTGATTATGTGATCCTTATCACTTTGTATTTTTCTTTTCAGTTACAAGCCCAGATGATACTGTGAAGCAGTGTAAATCTCTGTTCCTAGAAAATTAAAGATATTTGCAGAAACGTACTTTTATTGAGAATTACAGAGGAAGTGTAACCGTACATGTTCTACATGGGACCATATAGGCTGTAATCAAAGCTCTGTAGTTTGATTGTCTGTTCACATTTTGGTTTAATAATAAGTTTATCATTCCGTAAAATTTGATATTGAGTCTACTCAAAGATCATGCTACCAAGTAGCATTCTTCTCATGAAAGGGTATTTATGTTAGAGAAAAAAGTTAAAACAATCAATCCAAAGTTAAAATAAAACCGGTCAACAGGTCTAAATTAAGTAGGATGCTTAAATTGTTATAAACTCTCAAACTTTGGTCGAAACAACATTGAAGCAAAGTCATCCATCAAATAATTGCATTAATAGTATCAATGCCTCACATTTTAAGAATATTTTGTTCTTTATCTGGTTATGATCCAACGTACTTACCGTTATGTGTATGGCTTCATCCTTCATGTGCATCTACGCATAGTGTAATATATTACGCTCCAAAATGTTATATGGGATTTCAAGCAAAATGCACCAACTTAAAGGCCATCCACAAGCATTTTTATACTATGATTTCTTATATGATTGCTGTATGTTTTCCCAATCAATTTTTATTTTTGTAGCCACGATTTTTGCATCATATGATGCAACTATAGGAAAGGAGAAGTTTTACACTGTCATCCTAAGCAACATTTTCTCTTATTATTTTGGCTTACGGAAAAAACTCAAACCCCCCTTCACAAATGTTGAAAAAAGCTACCTTAAAATCCAAGAATCCCATAAACAAAAAGTATAGACCCTTTTCACAATGTCATTCAAAATTGTGCACCCTCTTTGCAGAGATGAGTGTATTTTGGAGAAGCATTGCTATGGTCATTGGACCAACTCCTCCAGGGACTGGTGTAACGGCAGAGGCAACTTTTATGGCTTCTTCGTAACAAACATCTCCTACCAGTTTATAACCTCGGGGGCTATTTGGATCCTGCAAAATAAACCCCATACATGCATTGCTTGAATAATGTTGGTACTGAAATAGATACATTCTATATAAATTTACTCCTCAAATACAGTAGCAATCAAGGTGGAAGCCTGGAGCCATTGCTATAAACGTGACCTTGATATAAATCTACTTACATCTACTGGGTTGATTCCAACGTCAATGATGACTGCACCAGGCTTTATCCAGCTTCCCCTCACCATGTTTGCTTTCCCAACAGCAGAAATGATAATATCTGCCTGTCTTATGATCTCTTCAGGGTTACTGGTTCTGGAATGGACAATACTGACAGTAGCATCTTCCCTCTAATAACACAAGAGACATATACAGAAGTAGAAACACATAAGTTAGAAGCAAAAAATGAAAGAAGCAAGCAGAGACAATGAAATAAAAACCAGTTTTGAATTGCTAACTAAAAGTTTAAGTTTGACTGAATGTATATTACTTGCAGCAATAGAGCAGCTGGCATTCCAACAATATTGCTCCGACCAATCACAACAGCCCTCTTTCCTTTAATGGAAATATTGTATCTGTGCAGTAGCTCTATGCATCCCTTTGGTGTACAGGGAACAAATAGAGGGTCTCTTCCACGCATGGCAAGACGGCCGATATTTAATGGATGAAAACCATCTACATCCTTCTCAATTCTAACAGCATTCAAGATGTTTTGCTCATTCATATGCTGTCTCATGGCCAGGGAAAATTAATTAAACTTCCATTAAAAAAATCTTATAGTTGTACTTTAGGTGCCAACAAGTTAACTACAAGAATGAGTTATCAATGTACCATGTCTGAAAAGCTTAACTAAGTTCCCTAAGGACCTAAATAGGAAAAAAGATTAATGATAAATTTTGGCATACTTGGCTCCAAAAATAAAATGAAGTTGGAGATCTAGAAATATACCGAAGGCAAGGGCAACTGAACTAGGATGCCATGAACTGACGGATCATCATTGTAGCCTGAAATATAGTTCAAAACTTCCTCTTCTGTGGAATCCTCAGGCAGATTAGCTTCCAAAGAATTAATTCCAACAGATTCACAAGCCTTCTTCTTGTTACGCACATAAGTTGCAGAATCCTTCCTATCTCCTACAAGAATTACAGCTAATCCTGGAATCACACCTGTAGCTTCTCTCATCCTGGAGACCTCAGCCGTTATCTCGTCTCTGATTTGCTTTGCTACAGCTTTTCCATCAATCAACTTAGCAGAAGAATCCATAGCCATGGCAGCTGCATATATTATATAAATTCAGATGGAGGCACACGAGAACAGGCTAGCAAAACCTTATTCAGTCAATAGCAAGAAGAGGAAAGATAATTTGGCATGTACATGTAAGGGAATACATGTAAATACATGTACATGCATAGCACTGACAAACATGTGTACAAGGTAACATAACAACCAGCAGTGTTAAATTTACAAGTAATGACAACAGCAGACAAATTAAAAGAAAGGAACCTTTAGAATTAGTGACATATCATAAGTTGTTTTCATAAATTCTCACAAACACTTGTGCCAAAGAGGATAAACTTAAATAATTTGAAAATAAGCTCTTCCCAACGCACCCTAGACCTAATATCTTGATCCAACATGCTACGACACCTCGAATTCTTCAAAGAAAAACTATCATCTTAAATCTGATCACCGGGAAATTTAGGAAAAAGACTTCTAAAATCAACAGCAACCTAAGCCAAACCCAGAGAGAAACACTGCCACTAATACACACTGTAGCAACACAAACCATGTCTCTACAAAGCCATATACTACCAAGTGAGAACTAGAAGACTATGTAGTCATATAAAATCAGTGCTCTATTACTAATTAAAAAATTTGCAACTAAACAGATCAAGGCTTTTCCACCCTTTAACCTTGCACTTCCAACATATTAACACCATAACCATAATAACAATGAGGACAAAAGTTGGATACAATCTACTGCTCAAAGCGTTATTCTATAAACAAAATTAGAGCTTCAGCTCAATAACATATTGACCTCTCACGAAAATCTTTATTATACAAATTACTGGGGTAAAACTAACTCAAATTCTGATTAGAGAATAGAATCAAAAGGACTACATCTGAGTTCCATGCCAACAACAAATTAAACCAATTAGTAAGGAAACACCAACATTCATAAACTGAAAATTAAAGTAGTCAAATAAGCAGACAAATGACCGAACACCGATTTTGCAGTGAATGGTAAACTCGGTACGAAAACCCTTCACTCAAAACTCCAAGTCCACTGAGAGAAAAAGAAAAACTAAAACAAAAACAAATTTTGGCACACTTTTTTTTTTTGAGAAAAGAATAGAACCCAGTTAAACCCAGAAGCCAAAAATTAGATAGAAGGTTGGCAATGACAAAAAATGAAAGAAAGAAAGAAAAGTTAAGTTAATAGCTTTATCATACCAACGTTGGCAACATGGGAGGATGATAACCGGAGAGAGGTGGGAGCCACACCCAGTTGACGGTGGAGGCGAAAAACAAGAGAAGAAGAAGAAGTAGAAGAAGAGTAGCAATGGGAATGAGTGAAGAACAAAGAAGAAGCCATTGTTGAGATTCGGTGACCAAACCCTAAACAAAGATTCAGCAAACTATAAGTTCTGTTGTGCTTTGCTATGTTTCTCCGCGTTTTGATTTGCACAAAGAGAATGACAACGACAAGGACAATGCTACGAATTGGGTGTTCTCAGAGGACAGATTCTCTGTATTTTTTAAGACTTAAATCCGGCGTAGCATTCATGCTTTGGCTACTATGACTTCTTAAGGTAATGTTTAGAACTAATTATTTAGAACAATAATGATATTTATATTATCTATATTATTATATAAAAAGAATACATGTTGACAATTATTTTCTTCTGTCTCTATTAGCTACACGATTTTTTATTAAATTAAAATAATTTATGATAAAATATATACCAGTAAAAATTATCTACCAAAAACTAATTGCATAATTTCCTAACTTCAAAAATAAACGCATTTTTCTTTTGCTTTTATCCTTAAATAATTGTTTACTTTTTAATTTTTAAAATTAAATTATTTTAATATAATAAAAATGTGAGTAGTCAAATGCACAATTTCTTGCCTTAAAATTATTCGTATAATCTTTTTTAACTTTTATTTTTATAAAAGTATTTACTTTTCTCTATTTTTAAAATCTTATTATTTTAATGCTATAGAAATACATTGCAAATGCGAGAATATGTGTTTTTAATAATAATTAATAATGTAAAATAAATGTGTTTCATGTTTATGTTGACATATTTACATGGTCGAATTGTTTGTGTAATTTTTTATATCATTATTTCACACACTCATGCGACCTTGTCATGTTTATATAATCAAGATTTTAGTACAAATTTTTAAATTAGTTTCTCACATTCATGCCAATGCACTTACACCTTTGTGATCGAATCTCTTATAATTTTCTATATATAAGTGTATCTCATAATTTCATATATACATAACAACATTTATTCAAGGAAACTTTGATGTAATTTTCTACATGAAGCCACCTTCTACAATCATGTAGGAGCAACCAAACTATACATATGTGGACATAGTTACACTTATGAAGTTAAACATATAATGCAATTGTCTATATATGAACTTGTATTTTATAGTTATATTGATGTAATCATAACCTTATAGTTAAACACTTTTGCAAGTTTGTACTAAGTGTGTCTCTTATACATAAGTAGATTAAACATATAATGCAATTGTCTATATGAACTCGTATTTCATAGTTATATTGATGTAATCATAATTTTATAGTTAAACATCTTTTTAAGTTTCTACTAAGTATCTCTTATACATAGGTGGATTTACTCGCACTCATGTGGTTGAATCTCCATTACAATTATCTACATGAGCACACGTTTGACAACGAGGTGAAATTAACCACATCCTTAAAATCAAATCTATGGTTCAATTTTCTATTTTAGTATGTTTCATCATTTCATAATCTTTATAAAAAAAAATGTCAAACCTTTATTCATTTGCAATTGAGAATCTTTAAATTAAAAAACATAAGTGACAAATTATACCATGAACTACAAATGAAAATATTGTGCAACGGATTATCTATACGAGCATAATATAAAATGTTAAAACATAAACAACTAGCAATGAGGAAAAGTTATATCTCATTTGATTTTT